TTTGCGGTACGCGGGCCTCTCACTGTTGTGGCCTCTCCCGTTGCGGAGCACAGTCTCCGGACACGCAGGCTCAGCGGCCACGGCTCACGGGCCCAGCCGCTCCGCGGCATGTGGGATCCTCCCGGACCGGGGCACGAACCCGCGTCCCCTGCATCGGCAGGCGGACTCCCAACCACTGCACCACCAGGGAAGCCCTCTACATATATTCTTAAAATCATATATTCATAACACATTTTAATGAAAGCCTACATGCACCAGGCCCTGTATGCCAAGGTTATAGTTGTGAACTTACATTCCTTGAGAACAGATCGTAAATAAGCTAATCTATAATTATATACATTCTATAATTAAGCTACTATATTTTATGGCATTTATATGTAATTATAAAAAGTGAGGATGTAAGGCATATGAGGATCTGGTGAAGAACGTGCAGGTAGTAGGGATGACACCTCCAAAGATCCTGAGGTAGAAACAAGCTTCATGTGTTAAGGAACAGCAAGAAAGTCTGTGTGGCCAGAATGGCATCAAGTGGTAGGAGATGAGATCAGAGAGGCAGGCAAAGCCAGATCCTGAATGTAATGCTTTGTGGGACCTATTCTAAAGTCACTGGAAGATTCTGAGCAAGAATGGTGTGATCTAATTGACATTTTAAATAAATTGCTTTGGCTGAGATATGAGAGTGTAGACTGAGGTGGTGGAGAGGATAACTGGAGATGGTGACAGGTGGTCAGATGGGACACCAATAAAACTTGAAGAACAGCGGTTAGGAGAGGAGGGAGAGATTATCTACAAACGGACACAGCACAAGTGAATTTCTTGGGGTGACGGAGTGTCTTGATTGTGGTGGTGCTTAGACAGCTCCATGCATTTGTCAAAACTCACAGACTTATACCCTAAAGTAAGTATATCATTTACAAGCCGTGTATCACTTACAAGCTGTATGACTTCAGGGATATTATCTGACTCTCTAAGCCTCAGTTCCCTCATAAATTGATAACTGCCCACCTCACAAAGTTGTTGTAAGGAATAAATGAGATAATACTGAAAAAGAACTTTGCATTATTTCTGGCTCAAAATGTTATCCTTTAATAATCATCACTATTAAAGTATGACAGTTTACACACCACTTCTTCAAACAGAAAGGTTAGTTTTTGTGTGTCTATCAGGTGGGAAATTTATTCCTATACGTACTGTACTGTCCGGTGCTAGTCTGATAGATGGGAGTTGGAACAGACATAGAAGTGACAGCAGAAACTCCAGGATTTTCTCCGTCTCCTTTTCTGCCCCGTGTATCTTCAGAAGATAGGTCTTTCAAAATTTTTCTGTGAAAAACAGAACTCTATTATTACTGTTGGTGATGAGGACAGCTTTACAAAGAAATTACTAAACCTTTTAAATCTCAGGTTAAAAATACAGTAATCTGGTAGACACCTAAACTCTTATGTCAAGGAATCCTTTGTTTAGCACATACTGTGTTTTAGCACAAACTAGACTTTGTCTATTAGCAGGCTGGTTATATTTTAATTTATGACGACCTGAAAAGAGACACTGAGCAAATACCCATACAGAGTGCCTTTCAATATACAAGGCCCTTGTAGAGGTATAAAATGTCTCCTTCCCCTACAGGAGAGATGGCTCCATTGTGAGGTATTTCATTAATTAACAAAGTACTATTCATTTTCTAAATAGTGTCAGTGACCTTTATTAAAAAGATTAAATTTTGGACTTCCCTGGCGGTCCAGTAGTTCCAGTGGAACAATCCGCGCTTCCACTACAGAGGGCACAGTTCGATCGCTGGTTGGGGAACTAAGATCCTGCATGCCACGTGGTGTGGCCAAAAAATAAAAATTAAAAAAAAAAAAACTACTATAAAGACTGGTGGTTGTCAAGGGGGAATGAGGTGGGAGAGGGATGGATTGGGAGTTTGGGGTTAGCAGATGCAAACTGGTAATATATGGAATGGATAAACAACAAGGTCCTACTGTATAGCACAGGGAACTATATTCAATATCCTGTGATGGACCATAATGGAAAAGAATATGAAAAAGAAGGTATATATGTATGTATAACTGGGGGGGAAACCCCATTTTCCTAACTTTGATGGAAAGTACAAAAAAAACACCACTATAAAAATGCAGAGTTATCAGTGATAAATAAAATTGCTTATTTTAACAAGAAGTACATTTGATTCCACAGGCATCCCTCAGACTTGGTTAAAAAAAAAAAGGGACTCATGGCAAGAATAAGGGGATGGAAAAAGATGCCTTGCTGAAAAGAAAGGTCTTGGAAAGACCTTTTGGAAAGGTTTTGGAAAACACAGCTGGGGATAGAGGGAGCATAATTTGTTTCTGGGGAAAAAAAGAAAAGGAAAAAAATGTTTACTCAAGAATTCTGCGTTTATTGTAGAAAAATCAGAAAACCTGAACTACTTGTGTGGAAACAATAATAAAAAAGAATCACAAAGGAAAAAAAAAAACCCTCAGCATTAAAAGGGATCTTTCATGTTATCTATGCTAACCCTCCAGCCCGTGGAGGAATTCTCTAGAATTGCTAACAGCCTCTACTTCCAGGAATAATTCATCTACAACTTCCAAAAAGCAAACTATTCAATTTTTGGATGGTTAGAGCTCATCCTTATTTAGACTCAAAGCTAATTCCACCCAAGGAAGCTAGAGAAAGTTAAGCTTTACCCTAATTGGGTTGGCCAAAAAGTTCATTCGGGTTTTTCATATCTCACAGGAAAACCCGAACGAACTTTTTGGCCGACCCAATATATCCATGTCCTACTTTGCAATATTTGACAACTGCTACAGGTCTTCTTTATTGGAGGCCAAATAATTTTAGATCTTTCAGCTGTTCTCTTACTGCACATTGAAGATCCTTCTCCAGCTTGGTCTCTTTACTCTGGACAGTCTTCCCACCAAGAGCTGCAAGTGTAGACTGTACTAACAGAAGTCCCACACAGAGAGCAAGAGAGGTGGCAGTCCTATAGGACTCTGTGTTAGCCATCTGTAGAATTGTCACAGTGGTTCCTAAACCTGCTTATGTACCAGGATCAGCTGGAGAGGTTTACTGAATTCAGATTCCCAACTGGTAACCCTAATGATTGAGTGGACAGAGCTCCAGAATCCATTTAACAAGCTGCCTGCATGGTCTTAAGCAGCCAGCCTCGCATGAGACTGTGGAACGCTGTTGGCCATTTCTTTTTCAATTTTAAGTTATGAAACATTTTGAGCATAAAGAGAAGTACAGAAAATAAAACACCAATGTACCATGTACCAAGAACCATTAGATGCTATTTTGCCATGTTTGCTTTAGATATCTCATTTTTAATAGGAATTAACTTACAGATACACCAGAATGTCACTACCAATTCCTTTCCCTGCTCTTCTGCCCCCTCAAAGAGTACCATTATCCAAATTGTTGTTTACCATTCCCATATATATTACTTTATTTTTACTATATTTTGAGATATTATTTGCCACTATTTTGCATTCTTCCTCATCCTCCTGCCTCATTCTTGGAGAACCTTAGTCTTTTGGACTTCTCTTTATCTATATTCTTTCTAATGAGCTCATCTGTCCTGTAGGCTTGAATACCTTGTGTATACTGATGACCCCTCAAATGATATTTCCTCAACTTCTCTCCTTAACTCGAAACCCCTATATCCAATTGTGTATTGAATACTTCCACTCAATAGGCACCTCAAACTTAATACATCCAAATCTAATGTCAGATATCCTTCCACCACTTGCAGTCTTACCCACGTCAGTAAATATCGACTCTGTTTTTCAAAAATTTTGGAGTCATTCTCTCTTTCTCACAACCTTTATCCAATTCATAAACAAATCCCATTGTCTCTATCTTGAAAATATATCCAGAATCTTACCCACCCTCATCACCTCCACTGCTACACCCCAGTCCATGCCACCACCCTCTTGACTAAACAGTAGTAGCCTCTAACAGGTCCTCCTTTAGTCTACCCTTCCCTTGCTACAGTCCATTCTCCACACCAATCATCAACAACCAGTCATCTTTTTAAAATGTCAGTCAGATCAAGTCACTCATCTGCAGTGGCTCCGTATCAGAATAAATGACACAGTCTGCAACGCCATAACTTGTCCCTGTGACCTCTCCAACCTCATCTCTGACCACTCTCCCCTTTATATTCACCATTCCCCCCATCTTGCTACCAGATTATCAATTTTACTAATTCCTTTCCGCCCAAAGAACCACCTTTCAGTTATATTATCTCTATTAGTTTTCTCTTTTCAAGTTCATTGACTTCTGCTCTATTTTTCCCCACTGGCCGTGCCATGCATCTTGCAGGATCTTAGTTCCCTAGCCAGGGATCAAACCCGGGCCCCTGGCAATGGAAGTGCGGAGTCCTAACCACTGGATCACCAGGGAATTCCCTGATTTCTGCGCTTAATCTCTATTATTTCATTTCTCCTGCTTGCTTTGACCTTATTTTGTTTTTCCCCTAGTTTCTTAAAATGGAAACTTGTTGATTTGAGACTTTCCTTCTTTTATAAGTTTTTATTTAGTAAGGTAAATTTTCCTCTAATTATTTCCCACTGGTTATAGCTCCAGATTTTGATATTTTCATTTTTCATTAAGTTCACAGTGCTTTCTAATTTCCCTTAAGATTTTCTGTTTGGTCCACGGATTATTTCTAAGTGTGTTAATTTCTGTATGTTTGGAGATTTTCCTGTTATCTTTCTTTTACTGGCTTTTAGTCTAATTCAAATATAAAAGAACTTTGCATAATTTCAATTCTTCTAAATTTGTTAAGGTTTGTTATGATCCAGGATGTGGTGTTTCTTGGTGAATGTTCTTTGTGCACGTGGGTAAAGTGTTCTAAAAATGTCAATTAGATCCGACTGGTTGATTGTATTGTTCAGTTGTTCTATAATCTTGCTGAATTTCTGGCTACAAGTTCTGTCGGATACTGAGGTAGGTGTACTCAAATTTTCAGCTATAACTGTGGATTTATTTTGCTTTCCAGTTCTGTAAGTTTTTGATACATGTATTATGAAGCTCTGTTGTTAGATGTGTACATATTTAGGATTGTTATGTCTTCTTGGTGAACTGACTCCCTCTTTATCTCTGATAATTTTCTTTGCTCTTAAGTCTTATTTTGTTTTGTTTGCTTTTTTTCCTTTTTTTTTTTTTTTTTTTGCTGTGTTGGGTCTTTGTTGAGCACAGACTTTTCTCTAGTTGTGGCGAGTGGGGGCTACTCTTTGTTGTGGTGCATGGGCTTCTCATTGTGGTGGCTTATTGTGGAGCACAGGCTCTAGGCACGCAGGCTTAAGTAGTTGCAGTGTGTAGGCCCTGGAGCCTGGGGCAGGAACCCGTGTCCCCTGCATCGGCAGGCGGACTCTCAACCACTGCGCCACCAGGGAAGCCCTTAAGTCTTATTTTGTATGACATTAATATAGCCAATTTTCTTTTTTTTTTTTGCCAATTTTCTTTTGATTACGTTTTTATTTCTCTTGCTTATATATATAGCAATAGTAGTAATGGCTTATAAGGTATGTATGTTCAGTATTTTGAAGAACTGCCAGATTGTTTCCACAGCCACTGCCCCCCTTACCAACACCTGTTATGGGTTTTTTGTTTGTTTTTGTTTTTTAGGCATCCTACTAGGTTTGAAGTCATATCTCATTATTTTGATTTACATTAACCTAATGACAAATGATGTTGATCAGTTTTTCACATACTTATTGACCATTTGTATATCTTCTTTGCAGAAATGTTTATTCAAATCTTTTCTTCATTGTTTAACTGGGTTATTTGTCTTAACAATATTGTCTTCCAGCTGATGAACATGTGATGTCTTTTTGTTTAGATTTTTAAAAAATGTCTCTCAACAAGGTTTTGTAGTTTTCAATACACAAGTATTATACTTCTGTTTTATATAATTTGAATTTATAAATTTAATTTCAAGTATTAAAGTATTTTATACATTTTATGTTATTTTAAGTAGGACTGTTTTCTTAATTTTATTTTTGGATTGTTTATTGCTAGTGTATAGAAAACCAATTGATTTTGTATCCTTTGCTGAACTTATTTATTAGTTCTATTTTAGTGAATTCTTCGGGATTGTCTATATATGAGATCATTGTCATCTGCAAACTTTTATTTCTTCCTTTCCAATATGCCTTTCGTTTCATTTTCTTACCTGATTTCCTGAGTAAAATGTTAAGTAGAAATAGTGAGAGCAGACATCCACAGCTTTGTCTTGTGCCTGATCTTAGGGGGGAAAACATTCAGTCTTCTACCATTAAATACGATGTTAGCTCTGGGCTTTTGTAGATGCACTTTATCAGGTTGAGGAAACTCCCATCTATTTGTTTGATGAGAATTTTTATCATTAAAGGGTACTGGATTTCATCAAATGCTTTTTTGTGTGTCTGTTCAGATGACTATAAGTTTTTTGTTTTTATTCTATAAATACGATGTATTACATTAATTGATTTTCAGATGTTGAACAATTTTGCAGTCTGGGATAAATCTTACTCAATTATGGTGTATAATACCGTCTATATGTTGTTGTACTTGGTTTACTAATATTTTCTTGAGGATTTTTGTGTCTATTTATAATCTCTGTCTTTTAGTGAGTTTAAGTCATGCTGTCTTAATATAACTACTGATATTGGTTGATCTACCATTTTATTATTTGCTATCTTTTTAAAAAATTCTGCATTCTTTTGGGTTAAGATTTTTCAAAACTCTAATATATCTATTGTGTATTTGACTAAATCTCTTTGTACAGTTTCTTTAGTAGTTGTTCTAGGTGTTACAGTATAGATGCCTAGTCTACTTATAGTCACTATTTTATCCCTTCAAGTGAACCTTAGAAACTTTACCACCATATTAAATCTCTTTATCCTCCCCCATTTATGTTGTAGTTGTCTTACATAGTAAAACTGCCTACACTGAAAACCCCATCAGACAGTGTCATTTTTTTCAACCATCAAACATATTTTAAAGAATTTAATAGGAGAGTGGTCCCTTATATTTGCCCAGATCTTGCTGTTTGCCTTTATTCATTCCTAACCCTCCAGTGGTCTTAACTTTCTTAGCAGTTATTTTAGAGCAAGTCTGCTGTCAATGATTTCTCTTAGTTTTCCTTTATCTGAGAATACTTAGTTCACCTCCATTTCTGAGGGTTATTTTCACTAGATAGAGAATTCTGGATTAACAGTTTTCTTTAGCACTTTAAAAATGCTATTTCATTTCTTCTAGCTTGCACAGTTTTTGATGAGAAATCTATAATCATTCACATCATGCCCTTATAAGTAGTGTCATTTTTCTCTGGCTGCTCACAATATTTATGTATTTTTCAGCAGTTTGATTATGATATATGTCTGGGCAGGGATTTCTTTGCATTTTATCTATTTTAAGATTTGCTAAGCTTTTTCAATTTGTAGGTTTCACCGAATTTGGGAACACTGCAGCTATTTCTACAAGTATTTTTTCTGCAACATTTTTCTGTTCTATAACTCAAATGACACAGTTTTAGATCTTTGGATATTGTCTCACAAGTCCCTGAGAACTAGTTAATTTTTCCAATCTCTATTCTTCAGATTGGATAATCTCCATTAGAACTATCTTTGAAGTTGACTAACTCTTTATCTCTGTTCTGCTATTGAATCCGTCCAGTGAGGTTTTGTTTCTGTTAGTGTATTCAGCTCTTAAATTTCTATTTTGTTCTCTTTATATCTTCTGTATTTTGCTAAGAGTTCCTATCTTTCCATTCATTTCAAGAGAATTCACCCTTACTTGTTAGTTAGTTAGAACATTTCAGTAATAGCTCCTTTAAAGTTTTTGTCATATAATTCCAACATCTGGGTCATGTAGGAGATAGCATTTGCTTATAATCTTTTCCCTTACAAGTTAAGAGTCTTCCAAGTTCTTTGTATGCCATGTAATGTTAGACATTTTCAATATTATATTAGACTCCTGTTTAAATCCTATGGAGAATTCTTGATATTCTTGTTTTAGCAGGCAATTTGCCTGGTTGTGTCCAAGCTGCAAGTTCTGACCAGCCTTCTGTGGGTCGTGGTTCCATCAATTTAGTTTTCAAAGACTATGCAGTGCTATTCAGATTTGGTTCATGTGTGTACTATGTTTGGAACTTGAGCTATGATCTGTCCTATGTACAGTTCAGTTCTCAAAGTCTGTATATGCTAGGAAAGTTCATTTTTATTCCTTATTTGCTAAAAATTTGAGTGGGTGCTAAATTTTATCAAATACTTTTTCTGCATTTATTGAGTTCATTATATATTGTTTCTGCTGATTCTCACTTATAATGGTTTATTTCTTTGTATGTTTGATGATTTGTGACTGTAAATTCATATTTGGCTGATCGTATCTTTGGTAATTCAGAAAGCTTAACTTGGGGAAACTTTGTTTCAGGTGCTCTAGCTTGCTGTAGGGATCTCAGCTTAACACAAAAATCTCAGGTTCATAGTCCCTTCCTGGGCTTCCCTGGTGGCGCAGTGGTTGAGAGTCCGCCTGCCAATGCAGGGGACACGGGTTCGTGCCCTGGTCCGGGAAGATCCCACATGCCGCGGAGCGGCTGGGCCCGTGAGCCATGGCCACTGAGCCTGCGCGTCCGGAGCCTATGCTCCGCAACGGGAGAGGCCACAACAGAGAGAGGCCTGCGTACTGCAAAAAAAACAAAAAAACAACATAGTCCCTTCTTGCAGTAGACCTAAAGTAATGGGTGTACCTTGGTCTTCATCCTTGCTTCTGCTTCCCATTCTAGTTTCAGCTCATGTATTTGTATGTACATGATTTTATGTTTATTAGGGTAGGCTGATAAGACATTTCTATTATTTCCTATAAATGCACAATTCATTAACAAGTATTTTATCTAGGAGCTAAACAACTGTTTTGTGCTGAAAGAGCCCCACTATTGGGAAATTAAACTTTTTATCTGTATTCTTTTGCCAGTTACCTCTAACAGTCTAAGGTAAGTCTAAAGGTAGTTGATGTAAGACTCCAGTAGACCATTCCTGTCTTATGTATTGCTGCCTGATATATTTCTTTCCATTTGTTTTTAAACTACCCAAATTAATCAATCATTATTAGTATTATTCTAAAAAGTCAATGGTAACTTAAATGAATGTCTTGGTTCACCATTCTTTCTTATATTCACGTTCCTTTTGTTTGGTTTCATTTTCTTCTTCCTGACATGTACCCTTTAGTAATTTCTTAAATCAGTCTGAAATGATTTTAACTTCACCATTATTTATGAGTGATTGTTCAGGTGGGTATATAATTCCAGGCCAACTGTTACTTTCTCTTGGCATTTAAAGATTTTAGTCCATTGTCTTCTAATATTACCATTCAAAAATCTGTTGTCAGCCTAATAATGGTCACTCCTTTCTAGGTAATTTGTCTTTTCTCTGTGGAAGCTTTTAAGATCTTATTTTTATCTTTGGTGCCCTCCAATTTTGCTTCATAAGATATATCTAGATGTAGGTTTAGATTAACTTACATGGTTGGAACCTTGCTTTCTAAGGCTGAGAAATTCCTTTCTTAATGGATTACTTTTTTTTTGGCCACACCGCGTGGTATGTGGGATCTTAGTTCCCTGACCAGGGATCGAACCCATGCTCTCTGCAGTGGAAGCACGGAGTTTTAACCACTGGACAGCCAGGTAAGTCCCTGGATTATTTTTTTATAGTTTCAAATTGAACTCATTTTAGTAGGCTTATTTTTCACCCCCCCAAAAATTCACAGAGAAAATATTTTGTGTATTCAGTAGAGTCCCAATTCCTTAACATGATAACAAGGTTCTAAGTAATGTGGCTCCTGTTTACCTTTTCTTGCTAAACCACCCCTTCCTCCTTGTACCTTAAAATTGCCAATTCCCAGAACAGGCCAACCTCTTTCATATCATACAATCTACCTTTCATTACATACTGTTCCCTCAGCCTAAGAAGCTGTCTTCCTGCCTTACAAAACCCCTCCCTGCTCCTAGCTCTCAGAATTTATCAGATTGATGATGAACTAAATTACATCTTTTCTTTTTTTTTTTTTTTTTGCGGTACGCGGGCCTCTCACTGCTGTGGCCTCTCCCGTTGCGGAGCACAGGCTCTGGACGCGCAGGCTCAGCGGCCATGGCTGACGGGCCCAGCCGCTCCGCGGCATGTGGGATCCTCCCGGACCGGGGCACGAACCCGTGTCCCCTGCATCGGCAGGCGGACTCTCAACCACTGCGCCACCAGGGAAGCCCTAAATTACATCTTTTATGAAGTCTTTCCTACTTCTTCCGTCAGGCAGGAATGAATACACCCTGTAAAAAGTTCTCTCATAACATCGAAAACCTTACTGCATTTGTCTGTGTGTTTCCAAAGAGCATTTCATCCTTTTCAGTCTCCCTTTCCTCCTACCATCTAGTCATCAGGTTTGGTCAGTTCGACCACAGAAGTGTCTCCGATCCAGCCATGCCAAAGACGGATAGCACACACTACCTATCTGAAATCACCCAGGTTATTTCAAAAGCTGCTTCTCAGTCAGCTGTACTAGTTCAGCTTTCTGTTCATTCAACACGTAATTACTAAGCATCTCCTCTCACCTGGTCATCCTGCTAGGCCCTGAGGTGACAAAATAGAAGAATGCAGTGGCCATGCCCATAAATAAACTGGAATTCCAGTAGCATGAGATAAGTACTGTAATAGGGGTTAGTAAAAGAAAGCCACAGAAGAAAGACCTAACCTGGTCTTGGGAGGCTGAAGAAAAAGTAAGCAGAGAAGGTTTCCAGGAGGAAATGAGGCCTAAAGTATGTGCAGAATGTAGAAGAATGTGTTTCAGCAAAGGGACACACACACAAGGGAAAGGCAAAGGCTCAGAGCTAGGAAGCTGAGGAAGGGAACACAAAGTAGTTTAATTCTTTCATATTACTGTTAAAGTTAGTAAATATGGGTATCTACTACTTCGCCAGAAGATGAGTCTAAACTCTTCAGCACAGCAACTTAGGCCCTTCAAAATCTTGCCCTGTCTCTCTTAACACTTCCCTTCCTATACAAACACATGCTCCTTCTTGATACAATTTGCTTTGCCAGCACCATTCCAACTCATATGGTGATATAACACATGCAGGGTTTGACACGAGTACTCACCTGTAAGATGGGCGCCGTGCTAGGATCCCGTGGGTTTTCTGTGAGGAGCCTATGCTGTCAGATGAGTCCTGAGACTCTTCACTTTCTGATAAAGATGATACCTGAAAAACAGAACTGGTTTTACTATGATGAACAAAGCAGGTAGAAAAAGAATTGAATTGAATTTTTACTTTCAGAAAAAATGATCTGTCTTTCTGCCACCCAAATTCCTTTGTCATTAAATCTAAGGTCTAAAAGAAAGAAATAAAAGGAAAAGAGAAAGTTTATCTCAGGAGCCCAAACTAAAGGAATGTACAACACAGCAGGCTTAGAACTAAGAAGAACGTCCATCCCCCAAATAAAGCACTACTACTGCACTAGAGTTGTAAAGATCAGTCTCTATACTGATGCACATTATTCAAAGGTTTTTTTTTTTTTATCATTAATGCTGTCTGATTTGGATTTCGGACATGCTAACTTTGAAATGTTATCAGATATCCAACCAATATCTAATTATTAGATAATGAAATTGAGGAGACTGCTGAATATACAAGCCTGTGAGTCAGGGAAGGGGTCTGGGCGAGACATATATTGGAAGTCACAGCTCTTTAGATAGTCCTTAAAGCCACAAGACTCAGTGAGCCCAATAAGGGGATAAATATAGGACAAAACCCAGGGACACTCTAGCAGTAAGAGGTTGGAAAGAACGGGAGAACCAGCAAATGAGACCAAGAACAAGCCACCATGAGGAATAACTAAATGAGCAAGGTGTCCTTGGACAACTAGCGAAGACAGTGTATTGAGGAGAAAAGAATAATCAACCATGTCAAATTCTGCTAGCAGGTGAAGTAAAACAAGGACTGAGAACAAGCATTAGATTTGGCAAAGTGGAGGTCACTGGCAAGGGCAGGTACAAACACATGCAACTTAAATATCTGTAATAATTAGCTGTATCTCACTTCACCATTGAATGAGTTAATACACGTAAAGCACTTAGTGCACGGCACAGCGCAAGCACACAGTAAATGTTAACTCTTATTAATAATAAACCTATTAAAACTAGTTACTACAATAACCATATGCAAGTTTTAAGTTATAATATCTTACAATTGAGGAAACAAGTTATTTCCAATTTTTAAAATGTATTAAATTTCTCAGCATTTTTCTGAAGTTGCATTGTGACACCTGACTTCCTCTTCATTAAAAAAAATAAACAGGCTTCTAGAATGGACATAAATTCCCTACATTACTTACTCTCTACAGAAGGCCTTCCCCTAAACTATTTAGACTTAGATCTTAAATTTCCAGAGAAGCTTGTTTTACATTCTATAGAGTCTCCTTCAAAAACAAGTTCTAGTGTACTTCTACTTTTTTGTATCTTAAATCTTTGTCTTTAGATAGGAAAGAACAGATCACAATCTGTAATAATTAAGAAATAATCACAGTAACAAATAATAAAGTAATAATTAAGGAAGATCTGTCACTTCTATATTTCCTCATGCACCACAGATATGCCATTTCTAATCTAAATATTAGCTGTTTTCCCTGTCTGTCCCTAAATTTACTCCAAAGCCTCCCACTGAACTCAAGTAAGAAAATAATTTCTAAAACTAAGAGATTCCTTATAACTAAGATCAAGTCACCTTTTATATAAGAAAAAAACCAAAAACAAAGACAAAAACAAAAAACACATAAAGATGCAGCTCTAGAGCTGACAACACTGCCAGACACTGTATACATTCAAGAGGAAAAAATGAGTTATACAGCTTTTCTTCCAGGATAGCTGCTTCTAAAAATGAGAGATGACCAAAGGCATTCTGAGACTCACAGGAGCCAGAAGGTAAAATGGGGAGAAAGAGTAAAAAGAAAAGGAACCCAGGATGGCCTTTTCCTCCCTACTGTTGTCAGGTGTAAATATGAAGGTAGATAGATATAAACAAGAACTTTACTATGAGAGAACTTCTTTTATTTGATCACCATAAAGCATAAGGTAGGTACTTTCTTAGTTTGCTAAAACGCTCACATCATCACTCTTTCTTCAGAATTCTCTTTTTCATGAAGGACACCACTAGGAATAAAAAGGTGCTTTCCCTTCAGAAAATCTTTCATTTCCTTAAATTCTAAGCAATAACTTCTTCCCAAACTTGCCTTATATTTTTACCGGGTAGTATATACATGAAACTAGAAGTTCTAAAATCTAATTTCTAAGACAACTTTATTATCTTGTTTTACAATATTATAACTATAGCAACTTCAGTGTGTCCAGAGACTCAGGGTTCAAAAGTCCCCTCTCTCAACCACTAAGTCTTTGAATTTCTGTACCGTTTGCACGTGTGGTGGGTGAATTACAGAAGACTGAGCTGTCTGGATGACCCCCTGAACCTGTACTTGCTCTCCAGGAAGAGGTACAATTGTCACTGGCGCAGATCCTCTTAATGACATCTAAGAACAAATAAAAATTCAATTAACATAATATAATTATACCTGTGCACTTAAGAAAGCTGAGTTCTTAATACTGGAAAATACATTTCAGAGCTTATTATATTTAACCACATCTATTAATCACATATTAGGTATCTTCTGTGGGCAGGAGACTGCGTTAGGGGTTCGAGAGTACAAACTAAACAAACCATAAGAGCTATAATATAAGCAGAAAAGTAGACAGCACTGTACTGTGGGAGCAAGGAGAGGGTGCTACTTCAGCTAGGTCTTGAGAAAAACAGTTCCCTGAAGGTGTGCTTGGGGGAGAGGGTTGGAAGGTATTTGGGGCAGAGGAACTGATTGTGTAAAAACATGGTGGCTCTTCAGAACATATCATTCTGAAGATATCTGGTTAAAAAACAATTACGAAATTCAGAATCAAAAAGTGAGAGAAATACCAACTTTGGGCAGTATCTTCAAAGAAAAATAAGTTATAATTTCATGATTCAATTATTTACTTGAAATATTTTATTTCTGTGGAAAGTAGATGGGGTTTCATGGAAATACCACAATAAAATGCTAAACCAAGAAAAGCCAACTCGTCATCCTTCAAGACTCAGCTCAGGTTCTACCTATTCCAAGAAGCTTTCCCAGATATTTTCAGATCTCTCACCTTCCTCTAGACTATCCTGATTCATACCACCCATCTTGGGCTTAAATCACAAAATAAAATCCAAGGCTGCTTCTCAAGTCCTGAAAATCACCTTTATGACTCTTTTCTGTGTTTGCATCAGGCCCCCAGAACAATGCCTTATTCCGTTTCATTGAAGGTTCTTTTACCCTTTCCCAAGACTGGATTAAATTCCAGTCTCATTATCTCCTAAATGCCCAGGTCAGGGAAATACGTATATAAAACTTTATCCAAATATCAGAAAGGAAATGTAAAAAAACAGTACCTTTTAAAATCACACCTCCCCAAAATAAAATACTTAGGAATAAACCTGACCAAGGAGGTGAAAGACTTATACTCTGAGACCTATAAAACATTAATAAAGGAAACTGAAGATGATTCAAAGAAATGGAAAGATATCCCATGCTCTTGGATTGGAAGAATTAATTTGTTAAAATGGCCATACGACCGAAAGCAATCTGATGCGACCCCTATCAAATTACCCATGACATTTTTCACAGAACTAGAACAAATAATCCTAAAATTCATATGGAACCATAGAAGACCCAGAATTGCCAAAGCAATCCTGAAGAAAAAGAACAAAGCAGGAGGCATAACCCTCCAAGGCTTCAGACAGTACTACAAAGCTACAGTAATCAAGAGTGTGGTATTGGCACAAAGTCAGCCATATGGATCAATGGAACAGAACAGAGAGCCCAGAAATAAACCCACATACCTATGGTTAACTAATCTTTGACAAAAGGGACTTCCCTGGTGGTCCAGTGGTTAAGACTCCAGGCTCCCAATGCAGGAGGCCTGGGTTCGATCCCTGGTCAGCGAACTAGATACACATACGGCAACTAAAGATCCTGCATGTGGCAACAAAGATCCCCTGCGACTAAGACCTGGTGCAGGACTTCCCTGGTGGCGCAGTGGTTAAGAATCCTCCTGCCAATGCAGAGGACATGGGTTTGAGCCCTGGTCTGGGAAGATCCCACGTGCCGTGGAGCAACGAAGCCCGTGCGCCACAACTACTGAAGCCCATGCGCCTAGAGCCTGTGCTCTGCAACAACAGAAGCCACCACAGTGAGAAACCCATGCACCTCAACAAAGAGTAGCCCCCGCTCACTGCAACTAGAGGAAGCCTGCACGCAGCAATGACGACCAAACGCAGCCATAAATAAATAAATTTATTTAAAAAAAAAGACCTGGTGCAGCCAAATAAATAAGTATTAAAGAGAAAAATCTTTGACAAAGGAGGCAAGAATACACAATGGGAAAGACAGTCTCTTCAGCAAGTAGTGCTAGGAAGGCTGGACAGCCACATATAAATCAATGAAGTTAGAACATACCCTCTCTCACCATACACAAAAATAAACTCAAAATGGCTTAAAGACAAACATAACACATGACACGGTAAAACTCCATGAGAACATAGGCAAAACATTCTCTGATATAAACTGTACCAATGTTTTCTTAGGTCAGTCTCCAAAGGCAATAAAAATAAAAACAAAAATAAATGGGACCTAATCAAACTTACAAGCTTTTGCACAGCAAAGGAAACCATAAGCAAAACGAAAAGATAACCTACGGAATGGGAGAAAATATTTGCAAATGATGTGACTGACAAAGGTTTACTTTCCAAAATATACAAACAGCTCATACAACTGAACAACAAAAAAACAAACAACCTAATTGAAAATGGGAAGACGACCTAAATACACATTTCTCCAAAGAAGAAACACAGATGGCCAATAGGCACATGAAAAGATGCTCAACGTCGGTAAGTATTAGAGACATGCAAATCAAAATTACAATGAAGGGGAATTCCCTGGCTGCCCAGTGGTTAGGACTCTGTGCTTCCACTGCAGGGGACATGGGTTTGATCCCTGGTTGGGGAACTAAGATCCCACATGCCACATGGTGTGGCCAAAAAAAACCTACAATGAGGTAGCAGCTCACACCAGTTAGAATGGCCATCATTTAAAAGCCTACAAATAACAAATGCTGGAGAGGGTGTGGAGAAAAGGGAACCCTCCTACACTGTTGATGGGAATGTAAGTTGGCACAGCCACTGTGGAAAACAATATGGAGGTTCCTCAAAACTAAAAAATAGAATTAGCATATGGTTCTGCAATCCCACTCCTGGGCATATATCCAGACAAAACTTTAATTCAAAAAGATACATGCACCCCTATGTTCATAGCAGCACTATTCACAATAGCCAAGACATGGAAAGAACCTAAGTGTCCATTGACAGATGAATGGTAAAGAGATGTGGTACATATAGACAATGGAATACTACTCAGCCATAAAAAAGAACAAAATAATGCCATTTGCAGCAACATGGATGCAAATGGATTATCATACTAAGTGAAGTAAATCAGAAAGAGAAAGACAAATACCATATGATGTCGCTTATATGTGGAAATATGACACAAATGAACCTATGAAACAGAAACAGAATCGCAAACAGAACAGACTGGTGGCTGCCAAGGGGAGGGGCTGGGGGAGGGATGGAATGGGAGGTTGTGGTTAGCAGATATAAGCTTTTCTATATAGAATGGATAAACAACAAGGTATACAGTACAGCACAGAGAACTATATTCAACATCCTATGCCAAACCATAATGGAAAAGAATATATTTTAAAAAATGTATATATATATGTATAACTGAATCACTTGGCTGTACAGCAGTAATTAACAACACTGTAAATCAACTATACTTCAATTTAAAAAAACAAAACAAATACCAAAACAAACCAACTTTTATTCAGGTACTGAAAACTGCAGACTTTCAGCACAAACAACTCCATTCAACCTCCCTCACACACACTAAGAGACATGACCAAACTCTACCACAGCTTCTATCAGTTCAAGGCTGAGTCCCTAGGATGACCCAGCCTCCTTAAAATGCCTCCTAGAGAAAGCTCAATGCTGCCAAAATAATTAACTGTTTGTTCTAGCCAAAACCTGACTATAGGCCTTTGACCTCACTTTTCTTAGAGCACTTACTTTAGAAAACTTGCAGTTGTCAATCTCTGACCCTTGAGATATAAACAAATCTTGTACAACCCAGAAATGTCTTTCTCAAGGACCTGGGAGTCATCCCTTTGCAATGTAATCATCAAGAAGGATAGGGCCGGGCTTCCCTGGTGGTGCAGTGGTTGAGAGTCCGCCTACCGATGCAGGGGACACGGGTTCGTGCCCTGTGCTGGGAAGATCCCACGTGCCGCAGAGCGGCTGGGCCAGTGAGCCATGGCTGCTGAGCCTGCGCATCCGGAGC